CTGGGATTAAACCCAGGGATGCTCTACCACTGAGCTACACCCCCAGGCCTTTTTATTTTTTATTTTGAGACAGGGTCTTGCTAAGTTGCTTAGGGCCTCACCAAGTTGCTGAGATTGGTCTTAAACTTGTGATCCTCCCAAGTCTCAGGGATCACAGGCATGGCATGCACCACCATGACCAGCTCCGCCCCACACTTTGACTTCCAGTCTCATGGGCACTTCCACCATGATGCCATCCGCCATGATGTGACACAGTCTGGCCCCCAGCCCAGTGCCAGTACTATGTTGTTTGAACTTTTAGCTTTCAAAAATGTGAGCTAAGTAAACTTCTTTTCTTTATAAGTTGCTCGGTCTCAGATATCTTGTTCCACCAATGAAACTAGACCAATACACCATACTGTGTAGAATAATTTCTCTACTCATCCTTAGTTAAGGAGATTGGAGAGACAATTTATAGCCTGCAGTGCTACTCAGGCAAAGGAGGCAAATTCGTTGATAATACCAGTATCACCACCCCCACCCTCACAACTCCAAAACAGTTCCAAGAGAGTGATAGCCCATGGGAGCTGTGGTGGCAACCTTTGTTGTACACGTTGGTGGGCAGCTGCACGTTGCTGATGGAGGTGTTCACACGCAGGTTGCTGAAGTGTGCGTTGGACTCCAGGACAAACTCGGCTCCCAGCTCCACATAGTTGCCATTCTCATCCTTCTCATTGATCAAGACTGAGTTGTAGTAGTCAAACTAGGGACATAGGGGCATCAACCCAAGAGAAGAGATGGAGGACACAGAGCCAGAGAGAAGGAAATGACTTAAGTCAGAAGGATGCAAAAGAGAACTGGACAAACTGGTGGCCAAGTTCAGGGTGGGGACAACACATGTCCAGATAACTGGAACTGAGGACACTTCAGAGTAGTTTTTGGTGTAACTTGTCCTGATTATTGCCAGGTTGTCTGCTTGGTTTAGTGTGGGTCAAAGCAGAGTCAGAGGCAGGCAGATGGAGATTCAAGGAGAGATGGAGACAAAGAGCCTCATCAGCACCATTAGTTTTCTTCAGGGTGGGAAGGGTGCTGGAGACCAGAATGGTGCCCAGGTGGCCCTGTGCCCTCAGCCTGTGGTTCCCATGTCCCTCTCTGAGGGACAGTGGTCTTATTTCTGTCTCTTCCACACAGTGTGGGAGGGTCCACTTGGATTAGGACCCATAGATCCATAACCAGCCTTGCCTCCCCATTTTCTCCATACTACAGGGTCACACCCTGCCACCAGAGCTATTACTGCAACACCCCACACCCCTCCAAGCTCCAGCTCCCAACGCTGCAGCCAGCATTAACTTTCTAAAGCCCATGTCCAGCCATGTCTCCCCCAGCTCCAGGCTTACCATTCCTTGCAGAAGGAAAACCAGATCCTGAGCCTGGTATTCTAGGTTCCTACCATATCTCCCATCACCCCTCCAAGGCCATGTTCTGAGTCACCTTCCTCTGGACACAAAGCAGGCCACCCACTGCTTCTTTTTGGTCTTCTCTTTTCCCTTAGCCTAACGACTCTCCTCCAGGTCTTGCCTGCCCAAATCCACACAACCTGTGGCCCAGGTCTCGTGCAGCCTGCCTGCAGGAGTTTCTGGTGGCCCTCCCTCATCTAGTCCTCATTCTCCTGTTGCCTGGTTGACCTATCCTTGTGGACTGGTCACATGCCTTCCATGAGAGCCACGCGGACTATGAGCTTCTTGAGGTCAAGACTATGCCCACTCTTGAGCTCAGGGCTTGGCTTTGCCCCTGGGGGCGAACATTATGTTTTACAAAATGAGTGGATCACCACTCTACACTCCACCCCCGTATCCAGTATCAGGCAGCTGGATCTAGTCACCTTTGGTGGCCATTGGGTGTGTGGTTGTTAAACCCTCCAGTGACAGCTTTGGCAGAGGACTTACCACCAGAGATGCGTTGAACTCATGGTTCAGGTCTGCCTCTTCAGCAGCCTCCACCAGATTCTAAGGGACAGGAAGGCAAAGGGGATAGAGAATGGGTAAAGCGGGTTATGGGTCCCTAGTAGGTTAACCATAGGATCACCATGTGCCCCAACAATTCCACTCCTAGCTGCTACCCGAAGCCAAGCACCCTTGCTTTCCCCCTCTCCTCTCCTTTCCCTTCCTCTCATTCCTTTGGCCATGAGGAACCACTTTCATGGTCCCCAAGTGATCTGGGAAGCAGAGGTACTCATACTGATGGGCCCTGTGCTAAGGAGACTTTGTCACCAGAATTCCACCAAGCTTAGCTGGGCCAGGTAGGAACAGGATGTCTCCAACCCTGGCATGAAGTGTCTGCTGAAGGAATCCTGGTTGGTGTGAACCAATAGATACAGCAGGGCTTGAGAGGCACAGGCCCACACTCCCCTGTGCAGGAATCAGACCATCCCAAACCAGTGTGGTCTCTGAAAGGGCTGATAGGACCAGCCACATCCTCTGGGAAGCCCTGAGAACAAAGAGAGAAGAAATGGGGCAGGGAGGTGGGCTGGCAAACCTTGACAGCTTCGACCTTCCTGCGTAGCATGTTCTTCATGTCCTCCGAGAACTTCCTCACCAGCTCCAGGCCATCCACCTCCTCGATCTGCAGACTGGACTCCACATCCTTGTATTTCTGTTCAGGGCAAAGTGGGAGCAATGGGCACACTTTGTTCTGTACCAGGAGGCTTGTGCCTGGCCACATGTGGCCTCCACCCTCTAGGCAAGTGTGTTCACACATGAAAAGCCTGGTTCACTCAGCTGGAGGGAAGGTCAGGCCCTCTCTTCTTTGCATAATAGCACCAATAATAATAAGAGCTGCCTCTTTTCAAATGCCCTCAGTCAATGAACTTGACCAAGGTCAACAGCCATCAAGCAGGGCAGCCTGGATGGGACCAAGGCTCCCAGAATTCCATGCCCACTGGAATGGGCATTGAGGATCGCTGCCTGACAAACTGTCAGTGAGCCCAGGAGAGCCTGGAGAACTGGGTTCAAATTCACTTTCTGGGCCCAGGAGAGACCATTTCCCACTGAGTATATCATGAATGCCTGTTTAACTAGCTCTGCAGTCTGTTGGCCCTGTGACTTTAGGCAAATCACTCAGTTTCCTCGCCTGTAAGACTGATATTTCCATGCCTTAGAGAATGTTCTAGAACGTGGAGTCTCTAAAAAATGTTTTTACCTAAAACTGTCACACAATTACTGCTCTGTCTTTCTCACCTGGGCCTGGAGGGTGCAAATGAGAAAATCAAATGAGTTGGTGTTTGCCACATAGGTATTATGAAGGGAAGCTGGGGTCTTAGCTGTCATTGTGGGGGTAGCAAGTGGTGGGGGGTCCAAGTACTGTAGGGAAGGGGAGATAAGAGAGCGAGGACTGCAGTGTGGTCACGGGCAGGCATGGAAGCTGCGATTCGGCATCACTCATGAGATGTGAAGATGCCTCACGGAACTGTGGGGAGAAATCCATTGTGAACATAAAGCTCTGACTGCATGGGAATGATAGAGAAGGTGAGCTATTATTAAAACTGCTCTGGGAGTTTTAACTCCTAGAGAAAAATGAAGTTTCTTATTATCTGGCACAAGGACAGGCTAGCCATACATCTGCACAAAAAGAACTGAACAGATAAAAGATGGAGGTGCTGCAGCCCTGTCTCCTCCACGAGGGCTTTCTGCCTGTGGGCTCAGACCACTGCTAGGGCACCACGTGGGCACTCCAGCTCCTGGACATGGCTGTGGGACTGAGGGCAGGAGGTCAGGACCACTCTTCCTGCCCACCGGCTTCTACCTAGGGCCCTTGCACTGCCCTTTGAGGCTCCGTTGCCCCCTCCTCCTGCCTGCCTCCCTCTATCATGTGTTAGACTTGCACCCAAGTGTACCCACAGACTGCTCCCCTTCATTTTGAGCAGCCTTTCTGCCCACCCAATGAGGCTCTTGCGGGTTTAGTTCCATGTTAACATCAGCTTCCCAAGGAGCTGACTGACCATGCCACCATACTGTCTCTGTTGACTAGCTCTGGAGTTGAGCAAATTATTCACCTCCCTGGGCCTTGGTTTCCTTATCTGAAAATGAGGAATTTAGACGAGATGATCTCCAAGACCCTTCAAAGTACTGACCTTTGAGGACTCTGCTTCTCTACCAGGGGGGAGACCTGACTGACTGCCCTCTGACCTTGACCACCCCATGATCAGTTACTGACCTTCTGCAGCAAGAGGGAGCCGGAGTATCTGGTCACGGTGTCGTAGAGGCCCCGGCCAAAGGTTTCTGCCCACAGCTTCACTCTGCCAGGGATGAAAGTCAGTGTGTGTACGCAGGCCTCCAGGTACACGCATGTGCAAAGCAAGTGTCTCACACGGACACACACGGAACACAAGCACACAGAAATACACATGATACACACAGAAATCCACACACAGGTATGAGCATATACACACACACACACTAACACACACTCAGAAACACACACAGAGAGAGCTCTTGACCCTCTTCCTGGCCCTGAAGCTTCGGCAGAAGACTGGAGAACCCACCAGGGCCCAGCAGCTGCACCAGGGTTCAGTGACGTCCGCTACTTGGCTGGTTCTCCTGCTGAAGATCACAAGACCAATGAGTTTGACCCCAAGGCCTTGCGTACACACAAGGCCTGTTTTTTTTGTTTTTTGTTTTTTTTTAGTAGAAAAAGGGGAGGAGAGGAAGGAAAGAGGTGATGCACAGGTTCAGGCAGGGTGAACAAAACTGGAACTTCCTGGGCTGCGTGTCTCGATGAGCCATTTAACTTGTGTTTACTTACTCAAGGTCACTGGGGACCACTGAGCCTTCCTCAAAGACAGCCTGAGGAGAGGGGCTGGGGGGAAAGGCTCCGAGTGGCTTTCCTGAGGCCCAGGGCAGGGCAGGCTGGAAGGGTGAAAGGAGGCCACACCTAGGTCTTGGGTAAGCTGCCAGTGAGGAGACCCTGACCTCTTCTCCACGCTTCAGAAGTACACTGGGATCCTGATATCTAGGAAGGTCCAGGGGTCCTGAGGTTCTCCAGGTGGAGCAAATGCGATTGGTCTGTGTGATTATTTCAAGATCAGCATTTAATCAGTGACTCAACCAAAATTGATCGAGGTCTTATTATGTGCACAGCCCAGGGTCACACCACAGTGCAAAACCTTCACTTAGGAGACAGCCCTTCCCATATAGATAGCATAATACAAATTTGAAGGAGGTCCCATGGAGCTGGGGGAGTGGCAGTGATGGTAAGGGAAGATTTCCTGGGGGGGGGGGCATCTGAGGTCAGCGTTATGAGCTTTGGTAGAGCTTAGCCTGGCAAAGAGATTTGGAAGAGGATTCTAGGTGGAGAGTACAGAAGAGCTTGGAAGAATAAAAAGTGACTCCAAGTTTCCAGCTTGGATTGTTGAGCTCATAGTGGTATCACCAAATAAAATTAAAAACATCAGGAAGATCAGGAGCATGTTGGGAAGGCGGATGGTGTGACTTGGGTTACAGGGCTGTGGAGTGCCATTGGGTAAATTGTGCACTGCCCAACTCCAGATGGCACCAATCCCGTTGTATATTGAAAGACATGAACTTGAGATTTAAAACCTCACGTGATGTCAGAAAGAGATGTACACAGGCATTGGAAATGTGAGTGATTGTGAGCCAGTCAGTACATGAGCAGAAATTGCATTCTGAAGGTAGAGGAGTTTTTGCAAGGAGAATGTATAGCATAAGAAGATCCATGAAAGATGCCAAATGTTGGGAAGTGCCAACAATTTCAGGGGCATGCAGAAGGAAAGGGGCACTTTAAGAAGACAACAAGTAACCCAGAAGCCCCCAGGAAACCAGGAGAGTGTGACAATATGGAAGTTGGGACTTTGGGGTTCAATAAAAGTGGGTAGCATCTGAAAAACTTAGATTTGGGAGGGCGGGCGGTGAAGACTGGAGGCTGAGTGGAGCTTGACATGAGCAGGGTGAAGGGTCTTTGGGGTGGGAAAGACTAAAAGAAGAACTCAGCAGGAGAGAAAGGGAAGACACAGGGGGAGGAGGGTGGGGAGAAGGCTGGGAGGGGGATGTTTGCAGGCTGCAATCTCAGCCTGCTGTTGAGTTTCCTACATAGACCGCCTGCCCTTGGGTTCTCCTCTGCAGAGAACTGGATTCCGGCCATCTGGACTTGGCCCTCAGCCCGTTCCTGGAGTTTGCCTTCTACTATTAATTGGTGTGCATTCTGGGGATGCAAAGTATTAACAGCTCCCCCAGCAACATCAAAGTATTAACATCTTCCTCAGCAACGCGCACTGCACCGTTGTAGAGCCCCCGGCAGTGGGTGTCATGGTAAAAAGCAAACCCAGGCTGAGTTCAAATTCTGGCACTTGCATTTACTGGACTTGCAAACTTACAAGAATATCTAACCTCTCTGAGCCTCTGTACCCTCAAAAGCAAACTAGAAATTATACCACTCATCTCTCTGAATTGCGGAAGGGATTACAGGAGTCATGGGTGAAGCACCTAGCACAGTGCTGGTGCTGTGAACAAGGAACAAGGAAGGGGATACCACTTGAGGGAAACCAAATCCACTGCTACTCAAGATCAAGTACAAACTCTGTGCATTGTTTGGGCTCCCTCATCCCCACCTCTGTTCAGGCATGTATTTGGTAACTGGATGTACTGATAGCCTGGCTGTCATGCTGGGCTCAGGTGGCTGGACTTAGATGTGGACTGGGCAGTCAACATGTTTAATCTAGAATGCTCTACTCCCCACATGTAATGGGAATTCCTAGGACTGAAAAATAAACACTCCAGGGATATCACACAGAAATTTATACCAAGGTGTGAATGATTGACACTAGAGTCTTACCTGGAGCTGGTCTTAATGGTGGGATAGAGAATTAAGGCCTGGAAGGAGGCAGAAAGTCATAGAAAGGAAAGAATGAGGCCACAGAGACAGAAGTGTGAGTCAGCACACGAACAGAAATTGACATTCTGAAGGCAGAGGGACTCTCTCAAGGAGAATGTCTAGCATAGAAAGATCTGTGAGGGATGCCTGATCCTGAACACGCCACCTTCTGTTCGCATGAGCCATTCTGTCGGTTTAGAACTGCCTTCCCCTTTCAGGATGTCACATTACAAGTTTCCCAGCAAATCCTCTGGGCAGCCATGACCATCTCTTTAAGGGTCCACACAGCACCCCTTTGTGCAGCCTCGCCAGGCGGCCATCCTGGGAAGGGCATCGGCCCTGCAGGGGCTGGACCTGTGACTTGCCATGCTAACGAGGTCAGAGCCGGAAGGTCAGTTCTACGCAAAGCCATCAGACTCTGGGGACTCCAAAATCAGCAGAGATTTGGGGAGGAGAGGAGGGCAGGGAAGAAAAGGCCTTGAGAACAAGACAGTGGGCAGGAGCAGCCCCCAGGAGAGTGGAGAGGGAAGGGAGTAGAGGATGGAGGGGTGCTGTGGGAAGGAAGGGAAGCATCAGGGGTTTCTGGGGTGAGGCTGAACTTCATGCTTACGTTTCCAGAGGAATCTTGGTCTGACCCCATGTGGGGGCCAGAGAAGTGCTGGACAGCAGCAGCCACAGGATGACTGTGGTCTTCTGCAGGAAGGCCCAGGCTCCTGGCTGCTGATGGCAGGGGGCCCAGTTGTGTGTGGAGCCAGGGTTGGAGTAGAACCTGGGTAGCCCAGGCATGGTGATCCTGCTGGGGTCAGGATAGGGGGAGAGGAAAGAGCAGCCCCAGCCCATCAGCTCTCTGGCCTGCCTCCCAGATCTCTGGGAGGTCCAGAGCCTTGGGACTGCAGGACCCTGCAAGCCTAGAGGGCTCAGCCTCTCAGCTGGATCCTGGTAGGGGAGGGCTGCCCCACGACTACAGAGGAGCACACCTGACAGCAGGCCTCCTGGAGAGGTTGTGACAAAATGGGCCTCTCTAATCCTCTGGCCTCTCCTCTAATCCCTGTCTGACAGCAGAGAGGGGGGTGAGCAGAAGGTGTGGGCAGTGACCTCAGCAGGATTACCCTGATCTCAGCTCATTCCATTAGGGGCTGCAGCATATCCTTCTGCTTTAAAGAGGCAGACCTGTACCAACAGAAGAGCTTCTGGACCCAAGAGGACCAGGATGCTGTGAACCCAGCTAGGGGACAAAGGAAGGGCAGCTGGGTTTGTACAGTGGTCTGATTGGCCAAGACTGTGGCAAACCTTCTCTTTGACTTCAGAGCAATCCTAGGAGGACAGAAGCATCAGCCCTGCTTGGCTGGGCCTCCGGAGGCTCTGGGAGCCTGAGATAGGGGTCGGCTCATGTTTCCAAGCCTGCTGCCTTTGGGCTAGGTCACTAATAAGGTAATCTCTGGGCCCCCACGCCCCACACCTTACTTGCTCATGGCTCTGGGAAAGGGACAGGTTTACTGTGAAGTTGATAATGTTTTAGGTCCTCCCTCTTGCATGGACCCCTCCCTTTCCAGGGAGTCCCTACATCAAGTGTTTTTGTAAAATTTACAAAAGTCAGATAGTTCAATCACAATGAGTGAAGTCCCCTGTCTCTGCTTGCTGACTTCTTCGACTTTCCTTTAGTTGGGTTATGTTTGTTTGAATGACTGTGGGCATTTGCACTATCCAGCTCAGTGAAAGCTGAGTTGAGGAAACACTTAATTTGGGCTTAGTGGAATGTAGTTCGGTCACTCACAGTCACTTCCTTGTATAGACAAGTCATCTGCAATCACCCAGGACCATGCCCCCACCCCCAGGTCAAGTTGTATTGCGATGTAAATATGTTCTACAGCGCCTACTGCTGGCTATATGAGGTAGGTCAGGGGAAAATAAGACTCCAGGCCCAGAGCAGAAGCTAGTCTGCAGAAACTCATCCAAAGGATCTGGTTCTCATATAGGCCTGACCAAAACAAGAATTCTCTCCCATTAGGAAAAAGGTTGAGATTGATGGATATAATTGCAATCACACCATACACTGGTTTCTTTTCTGATGGCAATTATGTAAAATAGAATTGATCAACATTTTCATGTTTGTGAAATTGGTGGTGGTACAGTGTGAAGTGAAGCCACACACTATGCATCCCATGTGCTGGACTGCAGCTTCTTCTTAGAGTGATTGATTTGTCTTTCTTGAGGAAATCTGGTGGTTCCAGCAAAATGGTACGCAAAATTGCCACCAACGCAGTAAAATGCTTGAAGAAGCAAGTGTTCTAGTGACAAAACTCCTACACATATTCATCAATAAGTCAATGTTGTAGTATCAGAGGAATCTGGTTACACAGTTATGTGGCTCAATACAATGTGGCAGTGATTTTAAAAATGCATTTGAATTGTTCCTATGAACGCCTTCATTTCAGATTAATGTTGTATAACATTAACATGTCTCAGGACTACAAATCATACACATTTAGTATAAATACTACAGAGGTGTGTTGGGCGGTTTGTAGATAAAAGAATATGTACTGTTTCTAGGCTTTGTGAGTTTTGGGGACTTCTTCAGCTTCTCAAAATTTGTAATTGGGAATGATTTTTTAAATAATAAATAAATTTTCACCCTTTCAATTTATTTATTATGGCAAAATTATATAACATAAAATTTGTAATTATTAATCATTATAAGGGTGTAGCGCAGTATTATTAAACACATTCACATTAGTGTGCAACAATTACCACCATCCATTTCCAAACTCTTTCATCTTATAGAACTGAAACTATGTGTCTGCATTTATATATATATAGTGTGTGTGTGTGTGTGTGTGTGTGTGTGTGTGTGTGTGTGTGTCTGGTACTAGGGATTGAACCCAGAGGCAATTTACCACTGAGTTACATCCCAGCCCTTTTTATGGTTTTGAGACATTGTCTCATTCAGTTGCTTAGGGCCTTAATAAGTTTCTGAGGCTGGCCTTGAATTTGCATCCTCTTTCCTCAATCTCCCAAGATTTTTGGATCACAAATGTACACCACCAGGCCCAGCTATATCTTTTTTTTTTTTTTTTTTTTAAGAGACAGAGTCTTTCTCTGTTGCCCATGCTGGAGTACAGGGACTTTGCAGGCTATTCTCACTACTGATCTGTATATGAATTTTGACCTGCTCCATATGGAACTGCAACACTATACCCCTAAACAAGAGCTCCACATACCCTGCTAGCCCCTGAAAATCACCAAATCACATTCTATTTTGTGGGGTTTTTTTTGTGGGGGGGGGTACCAGGGATTGAGCCCAGGGCCATTTAACCACTGAGCCATATCCCCAGCCTTTTCCAATATTTTATTTATAGACAGGATCTCACTGAGTTGCTTGGGGCCTCACTAAGTCACTGAGGCTGGCTTTGAACTCACCATCCTCCTGCCTCAGCCTCCTGAGCCACTGGGATTACAGGAGTGTGCCACCATACCTGGCACATCATTCTACTTTCTGTTTCTATGATTCTGACTACTCAATCTCATATAATAAGTGAAATCAGGCTGGGCACACTGGCACATGCCCAAGTGGGGGCATGCTAAACATAAGGGGTAACTTTTTCTTCTAACAACCCACTCTTAGGTAATCCAGTCCTGTAAGAGTGAGATCTCCCACCTGAGAACTGGCAGAACCCATTCCCCTGACCCAAGTACCTCCCACAGGCTCTACCTCCCAACCTGGCCTCAACTTGAGTTTTGATAGAGACAAAATCATGGTTGAGTCACTGCAAGAAGAGATGGCAAACTTGGATAGGGTACTTGTTAGGAGTTTAACAGAATGACTATTTACTATTTACTAAATCCTAGTGACTCAGGAGGCTGAGTCAGGAGGATCACAAGTTCAAGGTCAGCCTCTGCAACTTAGCTAGATGTTAAGCAACTTAGTGAGCCCTTGTCTCTAAATAAAAAATAAAAAGGGCTGGGGATGTGGCTCAGTGGTTAAGTGCCTATGGGTTCGATCCCCAGTCCCCCTCTCCCTGCAAAATACTACTGAACTATACACATAAATCTTACATTATATGTATTTTGTGCTGTATGCATTTTACCCCAACTTTTAAAAAGAAGCAGGAAGAGGGGGTGGAGGTACAGCTGCCCAGTCTGGACCCCTGCTTTGTCTTCCAAAGCCTGCTTCCCATTTTTCAAACATTGATCACAACAAAACCCTAGCTCTGTCTGTATTCTAGCACAGCTTTGAAAGGGAAAGCACATTTTCAGATTCCTAAAGCCTTTAAATCATGACTCAGCCAATTTTTACTATTAACAAAGGAGGAAGCAGGAGCAAATAAGGCCATTAAGCAAAACACTGCGGTCTAGCTTGAACACGGGCCTCCTGAGTGCGTGCCTCCCAACCGATCACAAAAGAGCACAGCCTGGATAAACAAGCACATCAGCCAGGCATCAACCTAGATTTGCAGATGCAGGGGGCTGCAGTGCAGCGGGCGGTGGGACATAAGCCTCCTTCTGCCTGGAGAGTCTGGGGCACATCAAAGTCCTGGGAGCAGAGGGCAGGGGGTTAATTTGAGGTGGGCCAGGCAGGCAGCAGCTGCACGCACAGACTGTCTGCCTAGGAGAGGCTTCCCGGGGGACCTGCCGGATCTATAAATACACGGAAGTCACCCCTCAGAGCAAGAGGGGCGCGCATGCGCTCATGGGAAAGACTATCAGAGGAAAGACTGAGGCTGGAAGCCACACAAAGAGGGGGATGCTGAGGGGATGTAGGTTGTAGGGGAGGACCTGGAGGTGCAAAGGAGCTGTGAATTTCCATTGCATGCCCTCGACTTCCTAGCCCAGCAGTAGTGCAGGGAGAACTCCTGAAGAGGCTTTCAGGAGCAGGCTTTGAGGGGGGGAGACCAGAGACGCCAAGGGGTGCTGGCCACAAACCAGTAGCTCCCTATTTGACCCACAAGTGAGCCCTGACCCAACTCCAGGTCCTGACCTGCTGTGGGTGGGCCTGTGCAGACAGGGAGTGGAGGCCATGTGGCAATGTGACAATGTCCATATCAGAGACAGACCCACAGCTCCACTGTGGGACACTGTGAGGACTGGGAAGGCTGGGACCCAAGCCCAGGTCCCAAGGCCAGTCGGACCCAGTGGGCTTGGAGTTGTAGCACGGGGAAGACAGAGCCCTGCCTTGGGAAGCTGCTCAGCTCCCTTAATTCTAGTGTGCCTTTGGGCAGAGTGCAGCCCTCCCTGGGCCTCAGTTTTCCTGATCTGTAGGTTGGAGAGGCTTGTGTGCTGGAGTCCCCCACAGGTGGCCTTGACCTCCCTGCCCTCCTGCACATGGCCCTGTATCTGAGGAAGGTTTGCATTTGCTCAGTTCTGGTGAGTCACAAATCTTCTCAGGAAGGGCTATCCAAGTGATGGTGGCCAGAGAGAGGTCACCAGCAGTACTGAGAGCGAGGGCCACTGTGCTTAATATAATATGAAGATGAGATTCATATGTTATTAATTAGCCTTTTAACTAGGATAAATTCTCCTTGAAGTCTTATTCATATTTATTATTTGCTTCACAAACTATGGAAAACATGGGAACTTGGGGGCTCTGGCTTCAGGAGATCTGGTTTGAACACCAGCACTGTTCTTTCCTAACTCTGTCATTGAAGACATCTCATTTTTCTTACTTGTAAAACAGAGATGGTTCAACCTGTCTGCATTAGGCATCAATGTATTCTGCTTCAAATAACAGAAAACCCAACTAACTTACAGGGATTTGTTAAAACTAAGCAAGAAATCTGAATAGGCAGTTCCAGCACAGCCCATTTGGTTCAGCTGCTCTGGGATGCCTGCAGACCTTCTTTCTAGTTTTCCTTCCTTTGTATTCTGACTTTCATCCTCATGTTTGCCACCTCATTATCACAAAATGGATGCTGCTATTCTAACCATTACATTCAAATTCTCCGTGGGAGGTAGAAGAAGAGCCATGCCTCACCCCCTGCACCAGCATATGTGTGTTTCTGAGCCACTGGCCAGAAGTGGGCTGTATGGTCACCATGAGCTGCAAGGTAGGCTGGAAAGACAGGAACAGGTTTACCCTAACTGCTTGTGGCCGGGTATTGTTATCAAGGAAGAACAGAGTGATGGATATTATGTTGCCAACTATGTCTACCTCACTCTCAAAGCTCTTAGCACTGGATCTGGCACTAATGCATTCCCTATTATCATTCACATTTAAGTTCTTGTCCTATAAAGATAATGGGCAAACCTTTATTCTCAAGGCACTTTAAAGGGAGCTGGTAAAGGGTATCCCCTTCTTTTCAGAGGAAAAATCAAAGTTATGCAAGAAAGGGCAGAGACCAGGGCAACGACTCTTGCAGACCGCAGGGGCCTACTGGAGCCAGGACTTGCATGGCCTTTTTGGTTTGTTGCCGTGGAAGACCTGATTGCTAGTCCACACTGTGATACTAACCACCTGTGTGACTTTGGCCTTTCATCTCTTAATCTTGTCATCTATGTACAAGAAATGGTCGAGAGGATGGTCTGAGTGGTGGATGTGAGCTCCAGTGCTCTATGAAAATCAGGAGGTTTGAGCCTCAGGGAACAGCGTGGGCTTAGTGACTGGGAGCAAGCAGTAAGCGTGTGCACACAATAGACACACATGGGCACACCCATGCACACACACCACACGGTGCCACTTCAGACATGGGTATGCAACACACAGAGGTAGATGCAAATTCCGTGCATGTTAAGCCATCTGCCAAGAAGGGCCCCAGTGACACAGCATAAAAAGCTTGTCGAAGGAGAGGGAAGGATGAAGGACAGGCTGAGATCTGCTGGCCTTGGTGGCACCTGTCACATCAGGCCGACAGGCAGAGTTTCCAGGGTCCTCCCTGCATACAATACAGAAAGGTGTGACTATGTCCTTGCTCCTTGGAAACTACCTCCTTGGTCACGTCACTGGAAAGTCCAAGCCACTTGCATTTGCTGTATTTCCATTCCAGATGGAGGTCACATGGCCCAGAGGAGGAAAAGCAGAGAGGCCTGGGAAGCCCTCTGGGAGAGACCCCTGGGCACCCCAGCAGTGGGGGAAGGAGAAGGAATTCCAGGAGTGTCGCTTCAAAATCAGAGTCCCGCCAGCCTCACCTTCACTCCCTACCTTCTCTTGAACTTACACTTCTGTAGCCACAAATGATCAGAGCCCTGAAGAGGTGGGGGCACCCTGTAGGTGACAGTGCACATCCAGGACGTTGCAATGAGTACTTGGCCAGGTGGACAAGAATGCAGTGGAAATAAATCCCGCAGGCCACCCCACTACCTGGGCTGGAAAAATGGCATGAACTTAAATTTAGAATCACTAAATATCCTGGCAGTGCGATTCTCAAAATCGCACTGTTGTTCAAAATGTTGGGGCCCCAGGGCTGGGGTTGTGGGTCAGCGGTAGAGTGCTCAATCCTCAGCATGACATAAAAAACAAACAAACAAGTAAAGGGTATTGTGTCCACTACAACTTAAGAAAGAAAAAAAAAAAAATGCTGGGGCGTGTGCCAGTGAGAGCAAGGCTCTGGAAACAGGTGCTGAACGTGGTGGTGACAGGCCACAGAGGCCAGAGGGTAGGACCAGAGGCGATTCCTGGTGGAGAGGGGCTGGCCTAGGGC